GTTAACTGTCCATACTACTCAAAGCAAACTGCAGATTCAATAAAATATATTGTAATCCCAAAGGCATTTTTAAACAAATAAAAATATCATTCTTAATTCATATGATATCTCAAGGACACTGAGGAGACAAAACAATCTTCAGTAATTTCCTGAAAACCAGTATTTAGTATAGACTGTATTGTATCTGTTTAATGCTACGCACATTTAAGCCAACTTTCTGTGATTTCTTTAAATTCAAATCTCTGAAGTACATCATAGATGGAGAACTTTTCTCTTTGAGCTACAGGGGTGGTGGAGGGGATGTCCTGGTCATTAGAGTAGAGAAAGACAAAACCCTTTCACATTCCTTCTCAGCTCCTTTAGGTTAGTTTGTTGTGGTGCCGCCCTCTGGTGGCCGTATTACAACTTGCACCTCTCAAATAGGGCCAAACCATTTTTTCTTAAGAAATTTTTTAAAAATTGATTTAAGAGAGGAAGGGAGAGGTAGAGAGAGGCAGAAACATCAATGATGACTGAGAATCATTGGCTTCCTCCTGCATGCCTCACACTGGGGATGGAGTCTGCAAACTGAGAATGTGTCCTGAGTGAGAATGAAACCAAGAACTCCTGGTTCATAGGTGGACACTCATCCACTGAGCCACACTGGCCAGGCTCAAAACATTTTTTCCAGCTCGGGGACTCTGCTAGGGACGTAATCAAGTAAAGTGAGTGCCATTAAGAATTTCAACAATGGTGGGTAAGGACACATATGTAATACCGTAATCAATAAAGAAAAAGAGAGAATTTCAAAATGCAAAAGCAAAGTATTAAACCTACTGCAGGCCCTTCTAAGTGACTTCACAGATTTTGATCCATGAAGGTGGCCCCCCCCTAGCAAGGGAAATGGATGTGTTCATCCTCTAAGTTAATTTCATCTCATCTTTAAGTAATAAAATACCTAGAGACTTACAGTCATCCTCAATGTGAGAACAAGAGACTCTCCCTCTAAAGATGAACAAAACAATAAGATTTCTAAGTACCTTAGTAAGACACCTGTGCTCTGAAGGGTGGAAGTGCATGCCTGCTGCTGTTGATGCTCTATGACAACAACATCAGTGATGACAGTGACAACAGTGTCAGGGTCAGTTCTAATGATCAGCAGTTTAAGCAAAGTATGAACTGTAAGGTCATTCAGGACTCTGACCATGCACGGGTCTGACATATCTATGAGGCCTTCATGGCTCCTATAGTCTGGGCCATGCTGGATGGTACTCTCCAGAGTAAAGGAGAAATTTCTGTGCTTGTACCTTCATCTAATCAATGTTAGGAGAATGAAAGGTGCTTTGTTAAGCCTCTTGTAATACCTCATAGAGAATGACATGCACATTCTTACGGTTTGGTTCTATTCTAAGGCAATAGAACAACAGCCATTGACCAGCTTCTAGGCCTCAGGAGAGACAGAGAGTCTGGACATGGGCTGTAAGGTGACCCAGTAGCCAGAACTGCTATTCATGATCTGGGTTCTATCATAGCCACCAACAGAAGGTTAGGTGGGGAGAGAAGCATCCATCACATCTAGAAGTGACAAAACCAGGATTAGATGAGAACAGGTGGCCAAGACCATGGGCACCTACCAATCAAGCCCTGTGACTGTCACAGAGCTATCACCTGTGGAATCATAGGAAGTTCACTTTGACTGGTCAAGAAAGAAGGAAAAGGCTCCACTCACTCCAGTTTATCCTGGCCCTCAATTCCTCCTCCCCCAACACACAGTCAGCTACTCCATTGCCTGTCCCTAGTCTCCTAGTCAGACTTACTCACTGACTCACAAATGCCCTGGGACACGGCTAACTTCTTGACTTAACTGAGCCACATCTAGGGATATGAGAATTAAATTTGCCCTTTCATGGCTCTCCCAGGTCATGTGGAAACTGCTGCCTCTTGGCAATGCTTTGAGATCCAGCTACACATGTCTCTACTGGGCCAAAACTGGACACCTCAGGCCCTCAATTTTGTCTTCAACTCCAAGCCTACCCTGCATTCCCCACCTTACCCCATTTCCATGCAACCCTTTTTCTAGGCTGACTACCCTGCACTACAACTCCCTTCCTGATACAAACCCCGAACTCCCAGGAATCATCGTCTATGTTCATAATGTCCCTATTCTACAATTCCTCATTTCTCTTCAGACTCCTAGTCACCAACTGGATGCTCATCTCCTTCTCCCCCTTGCCCCTATCACATGTCCTCTACCAGCCTGGTGCTCCCTCTTGTCCCAATGTCAGGGCATTATACGAAGTCTTCAACTACCTTGTCATTTCCTTTACCCTGTGTCTCACCCTTCATGCCCATCCAAGTCTAGGGGAATGGGACTCCCCCATCTTTCGCTACACCAGCTCCAGTGGTTTCTCCCTCAATAGCTAAGTCGGCCTCTCACTCATAATTCTAAACTTCATTCTGAGTCCCACCAAAGCTCTATTCCATGGCACCCTAGGTCCCTTTGAACACATAATGCGTAACATCCAAATATTCCCAGGCTTTATAATTTCTCATCCTTACACTGAGAAGACACCATCCCTCCATGTCCCCCCATCATACCCACCTTTTCTTAACCACAATCTTGCTCTGGCCAGGTCTCCAAGGATTTCAGCTAAATACCACAGAGGCCACATGGAGCAGAAAAGGAAGTAGAACCAGAAGAGAGATTTATTTCTGATTTCCCAGGTTCTGGTTATGGACTCTTTAAGAATAGGAATATGGAGTTTGTGAAATCAACAAAGAATGAGGACAGTGATGTCTGCCCTGTGCTCCAGGTCACAGAGGGCCCAAAATAAGTTCATTACTGCAGGCCTGAGCGTGACTGACATGACAAAGATCCTGCATATTTACTGGATTTCTTAAGTTTTATGACATAATATTTTTAAAATCTCTGTGACTTTTCTCTTGAAAGTGCAGTTAAAATGCATGTGGAATGAGAACTCTTAATGGTTAGGCTGCTGTGCAGGTGCACTCAGATTCTGGGACAAAGGCCACTCCAAGGCAACCTGGGGCCACGGAATGATCTGGGGAGTCAGGTCATCTGTTTTGGAGGGTAAGTCAGAGGTGAGGGAGGCAAGTTAGAAACATTTATTTGGAGGATTATAGCCAGATAAGGAAATATTGGAAAATTTGAAAATAAGGTAAGATGAGCAAGATGACAGGATCAGCTAATTACAGGTAGGTGATCTCAAAAGAAAACATGCATTGGGCAAATTGAAAGAGTCAAGAAACATTTTATTGAAGACTGACCATGCAATAGGACAGTGAGACTGAGCTCAACACCTTCAAAATAAAAGGCTGGGGAGATTTTAAGAATGGCAGCAGGAATCATAGGCATCTGTGTTTGCTAGTTGGCTTTACACAAAAGAAAAGTAAAACTTCTCATGAAATCCTGACAGGAGGTCCTTTCACCTCTTGGCTATTAATGTCCTCACCCAAGTTAGGCTGCTCCCCTCCCTCAGCGACTGGGACACAGGGACACCACGAGGATTACATTTCAAAAGAGTGGGCCCAGGCTCTTGAGACAAATATTCTATGGGACATAACACTGGCAAGAAGTTTTTAAGGAGACTTATGTATATTTCAAAAGGGCAGAGAAAAAATCAGCAATTGCAAATTGCGATTACATTTCTGAAGAAAATGCTCTAAAAGAATGGAAGTCAGAGGCCTGCAGTCAGGAAGAACCCATCTAAACATAAGTGACTCTGAGGCAACATGAAGGCCCCTTTGGTCATAACAAATCTGCTTTCTGCACAGTGGAGGGAAACACCATTAAATATCTTTCAGACAAGATCCAGTTTGCATCTTCATCAGTTCCTGCAATTTATAAGCAGGTGAAAAATAGCTGAGAGTCCCTGAACAGAGCCAGGATCTGATCTCCCAGAAGGCTGTGCATTGGAGTTTTCCATGGAGACATTACATTTCCCTCTATAGTCACCTTCCCTTTGATCAAACGAAATCTCCAAGGAAGAAGAGTATTTGAGATCCTACAAAATGGCTGATGTCCCTCAATTTGGCTGATTAGTGATCTAAGTGCAGAGGAATGACATTCACACATAGTTTGCTCTGTTGCACATGTTTCTATGAAACCTAAGATGAGAGTTCTAACAGCCTCTTGAGGCTAGGAAGCCTCACCTTTACACTTCACCTGCAGTCTCTCTCTCTTTGGGAGATGCCCTCTTCCCCATGAGATTTCAAAATACCCCTCAGGAGAAACTTAGCTCCATAAAAGTGAAGTAATTTCTAATTCTCAGGATATCAGGGTGAACTAGGACATTTGAGCCAAAGCCTTGGTTGTATTACCAGCATTTCTAATTATATCCTATTAACAAGGAAGACAGTATCCTACTGAACTTATGGAAATCGATCCACTGCCACAAAAATAAAAGGTATTTAAGAGTGCTTTAGAAATATTGGGGAGAAGTAAAACAGGGAGGAAAGATCAGTGTTGATACCCACATGGGAGTCCTTCTGTACATTCTTGCTGTACAAAACAGTGTCCAGGTACCCTACACAGGACCCATTGGAGAAAGGACAGAGCTTGGATGCCTGGAAGCTTATCACATGCTCCCACTGGTCATCACATGACCACTGCGCTTTATGGGAGGGACTCGATGTCATCTTCACTGTGGAGATGGTGCAAATGGGACCAACCAGAGGTGAGATCAGGTGTGGAATATTAGCTTCAGTCAACAGTAACCTCAATGCCAGCTCTCATTTTTGAGCATTTTTTGACTCAGTTCAAGTCTTCTACGGACTTTCCACATTCACAACAAATATATTTAAAGGGTGAAAAAAATTTATTCAGGGTTTAATAACATAGAGGAGGAAAGCAGGGTCACTAATATTTTACATGCAGCTCAACAGCTTCACTTTCAGGAGAACTGATGGGGTTGGACACTTCACACTGGTAGTTCCCAGCATCCTCCCTCCTGACAGGGTCTATGGTGAGAGTTCTGTTGCTCCAGGACAGCTTCATGCTCTTACAGACCCATGTTATTGAAGAACCACTGGGTGAGGATCACAGTTGAGTAGCAGTTCAGGACCACAGTATTCTCATGTCCTGTGACTGTGATGTTGCTCTCTAGTAGGGTGGGCACTCTTGTGAGCTCTGTGAAAAGACCAAGGACTGATTGAGAGTGGGCTTGGCACTTGGGGTCCTGCTACATTCTGAGACATCTCAGCCACTCATAGTCCCCAGTGAGCTCTGTGAGGTCACCAGGGGATGGTACTGACCTCTGCAGAAGGACAATTGTCTTTTTTCAGGTGACAATGTGTAAGGAGAGCGCTGCACTTCTTCTTTAACCCCACATAACCCCAGGGTGACGGCTGACCTATTCCCCAGACATCTCTGTAATATCAGGATAGGGAACACCTTCCCAGCTGATGTTTCCTATAACCTCATCATCAGTTAGTATTTTCCTCTCATGAGCTTTTATTAATTCTTTCTGTCATTAACTTCAAAAAAGATGAGGTCCCACTCTTTATGTAAAATTCCATGTATGTTGTGGAAGGCAGGCTACCACCTCTGTCCATCTCTGGGGCAAGGAAACTTTATAGAAAGTGAAAAGGCATTTAACTCTTTTTAAATAATTCATTAGGCAATAATGATGGCCCAACACAGTCTTCATGATCTTGGAAGTTCCAGCTAAATGACTTTTCAGTCTAAAAGGACTTTATTTCCTGGCCTGCAAATTGAATATCATGCCATAATAAGTCTCTAGAGAGAAGTGGTTATAGTTTTAAAAAAAGACATGAACTGTAAGAATAGAAGGAAACTATTCAATAAGATAAATGCTACACATGAAAGCCCACAGCTAACCCAACATTCCATGGAGAAACTTGGACAATGTTACTAACATCATGAACAAGACAAGAATGTTGTTTTTCTTTTTTCAAAAATATATTTTATTGATTTCTTAAAGTGAGTAAGGGGGAGGGATAGAGAGTTAGAAACATAGATGAGAGAGAAACATTGATCAGCTGCCTTCTGCACACCCCCTACTGGGGATGTTCCCGCAGCCCAGGTACATGCCCTGGCCCGGAATTGAACCTGGGACCCTTCAGTCCGCAGGCCAATGCTCGATAGAGCCAAACTGGTTAGCGTGTGGATGCTGTTTTTCCTACTTATTCACAATAGTAGTTTAAGAACTGGCTGGAAAAGTCAGGCATGATAATAAAATAAGAGGTATCCAAATTAGAAAGGTAGAAGAAAAATAATATTTTAAAAAAGACAACAAAATCAGATATAGAAAAACCTAAAAATTTCACCACACATACACACGCACACCATAAAGTTTTTAAGACCTGATAAAAAAGGCAAAGTTGTTGGAGACAATATCAACACTCAGTATCATTTCCATTTTTTTAACAAAAATGAACAATGCCAAAATAAGATTAAGAGAACAGTTCCATTTAAAAGAGCATCAAAGAGACTAGAATACTTAGAATTAAGTTAATTAATAAGATGAAGATACATACACTGAAAACTACCAAATGTCTCTGAAAGAAAGTAAAGGTGAAACAAAATACCTTGAAAAATATCCATGTTCATGGGTTGGAAGACCCCCAAATATCTTCTTATTTGATATGATCTTTATCTAATTCTCTATGCCTTTTTTCAAAAATAGGAAAATCCACTTTAAAATTCATAACGAATTACAATGAAGCCACAAATTGTTTTGATAACCATAGAAAAAAAGAACGAAATTGGACGTCTTACACTGACTAATTTCAAATTTTACTACAAAGCTGAAGTAACCAAACTATGATGACATTAGCATAAAGACTTCTATTTGTCAAAAGACAAAATCAAATGGTTTTGACAAAGGAGCCAAGACTGTTCAATGGAGAAAGGACAGTCTTTTAAACAAATCGTGTTGAACAGCAGCATCCACTTGCAAAAAAATGGAGTGGACCATTGCTTATACCACTAACAACAATTAAGTTAAAATGGGATTGAATCCTAAATGTGAAACCTAAAACTATAAAACTCATTAAAGAAATTATAGAGGCAAACATCATGACATTAAATTTGAAATGATTCAATATATGACTCTAAGAATACAGGTAAAAAAAGAAAAATAGATAAATTGGATAGTATCAAAATGAAAAACTTCTGTTCATCAAAGGACACCATCAACAAAGTGAAAAGTTACCTATGAAATGGTAGAAAATACTTTGAAATCATATATAAGATAAGGGGTTAATATCTAGTATATTCAAAGAATTCCCCCCACTCAACAACAAAATCAAATAACTTGATTAAAAATAGTTAAAACACTTGTACACTTATTTCTTCAAAGATGACATACAAATGGCCAGCATGGTTATCCTATATAATAAAGAGCTAATATGCTAATTAGACCTGATGGCAGAATGACCTTCCAGAATCACCAGGGGGGCAGGGGATGAAGGTGCAAGGCAGCTGGCTGAGGCAGCCCAGGCCGTGAGGGCCAAGCCCCTTGCACAAATTTTGTGAATTGGGCCTCTAATGAATTGATATCCAACATCACTGATCCTTAGAGAAATCTAATCCAAACAGCAATGAGATATCTTTGTATACACATTAGGATGGTCACTATTGGAAACATAGAAAATAACCTGTGTTGGCACAAAATGGAAAAATTGGAGCCAGGCTCACTGTGGATGAAAATGCAAAATGGTGCAACTACTATAGAAAACATTTTGGAGGCAGATAATAAATAGACTTACCATGTATCATGTGGTCCAGCAATCTCACTTCTACTTTTATATCCAAAGGAATGCAAAGCAGGACTTTGAAGAGATATTTACACATCCATTTTCATTGCAGAATTATTCACAATAGCCAAGAGGTGGAAGCAACTCTACTTTTAATAGACAGTAACATAAAAAATGTAGCACATACATATACAATGGTACCTTATTCAGCCTTATAAAAATGGTAATTCTGTATAGTATGCTCCAAAACAAGCCAGCCAAAAGAAGACACAAAAGTGTGTTCCACTTATATGTATCTCAAGTATTCAAATTTACAGAAACAAAGAATGTTGGTCACTGAGAGCAAGAGAGGCAGCAAGGATAATGCCAAGATTTCCTGGAAGGATAGATTTGACCTTGACTGAGAAGAAGAGGATTTGGGGAGGATCTGGTTTGGAGGTGGGGAGAATAAAGATCTTTGTTTTGCACACGTTACAATAGAGGTGCCCAATTATGTCTACGAAAGATATCCCAGATATGGTTAACTCATTTTCTCCTAAACCCATTGGGAAACACACACACACACACACACACACACACACACACACACACACAAACAAAAACAGAAACAAAAAAAAACAACAACTCAGAAGCTGGAGATAGCAAGAATATCTGACAACAGAATAGATGTGTGAGTTCTGGAGAAGGGAAGCGGTTTTGTGCGGTGTGGGTTTTGACTCTCCCACACTCAGGGCCATGGAGCTGGTGGGTCCTGGACTGTGGCTATGGAGGCTGCAGAGGGACTGTTACTCAAGACCAATGCAGCATGTCCATTTCCCAGTGTTTTCATCCAGGAAGTAACAGCAACACTTTAGCAAATCAAGTCACCAGTCCTGCCCTTAGAGATCATTCGGGAAACTGCAACTTTAGTCTGCTTCCCAACACATAAAAATTAAATTAAACAAGTAATATTTTCTTGAAAAGGAAGGCAGACCACTTATGGTCTGGTTAATGAACTGAACATAGTAATTTTTGTCTCTTTCATTTTATATTATTTTATTTTATTTCTATCACCATTTATTTTAATTTTATCCTCCTGGGCTTCAAGGACAAATCTTAATCAGTTTGTAAGACCCAGAGAAGGTAAATTGTTTTGAGGTGACCCTCTACAACCCAAGGAGATTTTACTCCCTCTGCAGGTGGAACATGAAATAGTTATTCCATGTCTGATATTCACACTGTAAGCAAAGCCAGGTCCCAGCTCTCTCCTGTTGGATGTTCTGTCTTTTATTTGTGACAACACTGAATGTTGCCTGATAAGCCCTGTGTCTCTCTGTGTGTTCTGTTAAAAATTATCACAGGAAGGTTCTGGTTTCTTTGGGCCATACTGAGGATATCTGCCCCAAACAATGAGAGCTCCCCTGGATGGAAGCAAAGTTCGTTAAATGACATTCTTTGAGCTTATTTATTAATTTTTTTACTTTGTGGCATTATCTACTGCAAGGTCTTTCCTCCTTGAAGATGAAACTCAGCTGATTTCATTTTCAGCACCAATTCTCTCTCTCTCTCTCTCTCTCTCTCTCTCTCTCTCTCTCTCTCTCCAGTCTCTCCAGTATTTTTTTGAAGACCAATATTTAGTGTAGGCTTATTGTGTCTGTTTAATGCAAATCACATTTGAGCCAACTACCTGAGATTTCTTTAAATTTGAATCTCCAGAGAACATCATAGACAGAGAACCTTCCTTCTGTGAGCTACAGAGGTGGGCGTGGGATGATCCTGCTCATTAGACACTTGTAATGCCATAAATAGAGTAGAAAAAGCCAAATACTTCTTTACATCCCTTCACAGCTTCTCCAGGTTTCCTTGCTGCTGTACTGCTCTCTGGTGGTCACATTACAGAATTTTCCGAACCAATGGTCAGGTCTGGGGGCAGGACTATGAAAAGTCACATGAAAGTTCTGGGCTCTAGTTCAAATTAAGAATTTCAGGATTACAAAAGCAGACTATTAAAACTACCACAGGCCCTTCTAAGTGGCTGTACAAATTACCAGCCCATGAAGCGGCCCTGGATTCCAGGGCAAATGTATGTGTTCATTCTCCAAGTTAATTCAAGGCCAAACTCAAGTCATAAAAATGGCGAGATCTAAAAGCTCTCCTGCTAAAGGTGAACAACACTGCAAGTTTCAAAATGCCTCAGTAAGACACTTGTGCTCCAAAGGGTGGAAGTGATGCCTGCTAACGTTGATGCTCTAACACAATGACATCAGTGATGACAGTGACACCAGAGACAGGGTCAACTCTTTTGATCAGCAGTTTAAGGAAAGCATGAGCTATAGGGACATCCACATCTGTGACTATTCAGGAATCTGCCACATCTATGTCTCCACTAATCTGGGCCATGCTGGACGTACCCTCCAGAGAAAAGGACAAGTTGCTAATTGATGTTAGAAGAATGAAAGGTGCTTTGTGAAACATCTGGTGAGACCTAATAAAATAATTATTCCTAGGCAGACTCCTTGTGAAATAGGCCGTATCTTCTACAGCAATAAAAAAACAGCTCCCGCCCTAACTGGTTTGGCTCAGTGGATAGAGCGTCAGCCTACGGACTCAAGGGTCCCAGGTTCGATTCTGGTCAAGGGCATGTACCTTGCTTGCGGGCACATCCCCAGTAGGGAGTGTGCAGGAGGCAGCTGATCGATGTTTCTCTTTCATCAATGTTTCTAACTCTCTGTCCCTCTCCCTTCCTCTCTGTAAAAAATCAATAAAATATATTAAAAAAAAACAGCTCCCAACAAGCTTCTAGCCCTGAGGAGAGATGGAGAGTCTGAACGTGGTCTATAATTTTACCAGGAAGGCAGAACTTCTCATCATAACCTGGGTTCTACCACACCCACCAACATAAGTTCAGGTGAGGAGAGAAGCATCCATCACAGATGCAAGTGACACAACCTGGATTAGACAAGGACAGGTAGGTATCTATCCCTCCATCCCTGTGACCTACCACAGAGCTCTTACCTGTGGAATCACAGAAAGTTACTGTCACTAGTCAACAAAGAAGGAAAATGATCCAACATTCCAAGTTCATGCCAGCCCTCAATTACTCCTCCCCCAACACAAACATACCCTTAGCCTTTTCCTTGCCTGTCCCCAGGCTCCTATTTAGACTTACTCACTGACACACAAATCCCCTGGGACATGGCTAACGTGTTTACTCAGCTGAGGCATGTCTTGGTGTATAGGGGTGAGATTGGCCTTTCATGGCTCTCCCAGCCTGTGGAAAAACTGCTTTGAGGGCCAAATGCACACATCTCTCCTGGGTTTGAACTGGAGGCTGGACAACTCTGGCCCTCAATATGGTCCTCACCCTCAAGCCTGCCCTGCATTCCCCACTTTCCCTAGGCTCCATGCCAACCCCTGTTCTAGTCTGACTACACTGGACTTCTACTAATTTCCTGGCTCAAATACCACATTACCTAGGCTCATCTTCTGCATTTATGGTGTCCCCATCCCTCCTCACTATTCAGAGTCCTAACTCCCTACAAGATGCTCATCTGATTTTCCTTCTTGTTTTTCTTATTTTATGTCTACTTTGTAACTCTTGCCAGCCAGTATATTTGGTGCTCCTTCTTGTCCCAAATGTCAGGACACTAATATGAATCTTCAAGAATCTTCTTCTTTCCCCCAACCTGTGTCTCACCCCTTTCGCCTGTCGAAGTTTGGGAGAACGGCACTCCCACTTCACTACACCAGCTCCAGTGGCTTCTCCCTCAACAGGTAGAAGGTAGCCCCTCACTCATATCACTGAGCCTCATCCAGAGCCCTCCCTAAAAGAGCCGACCTGCAGGGCACCATTAGGCCTCCTTGACCTCATATAATGCCTAACATCACCAAACCCACAGGCTTTACAATTTGTCATCCTGGCTCTGAACAGATCCTATCTCTCAACAGCTCCCCTCTAAGCCCACTTCTGCTTACCCACAATCCACCTCTGGCTAGCTCTCAAAGGAGTATAACTAAATATCCCAGAGGCCACAAAGTACAGGAAAGATTTATTTCCATTTCCCAGATTCGGGATGAGGATTCTCTAAGAACCGGCAGCTGGCAATTGTGAAAACAATGAAGAAAACATAGTATGAGAACACCTGTCTGGCATGAGCTCCAGGTCATGGGGGACAGAAAACAGCACCTTTAAGTGACAGCCTGTGGGTGGCTCACATGTCAGGGACCTGCACGTTTACTAGAGTTTGTAAGGTTTAAGAAAGAATATTTGTTAAAATCTCTGTGATCTAGTTCCTTGAAGGTGCAGTGAAAATGAATGTGAACACTGTAGATGGCTTGGTCCCTGTGGACATGTGCCCTTTCAGGCCTGCATGTCTTCTCAGATTCTGGGGCAAAGGCCATCCCGAGGCAACCTGGAGCCTCAGAAGCATCTAAGAAGTCACATCAGATGCTGTTTGGATGCCAAGTCAGAAGGAAGGCAGGAAAACTGGAGACTTATGTGGAGGATTTTAGCCTGATAAGGAAAGAAATTGGAAGATTTGAAAATAAGGTAAGGATCGACAATGTGAGCAAAATGACAGGATCAGCTAGTTATAGGTAGATGATGACAAACTAAAACAGGTATCCAACACATTTAAAGAGGCAAGGAAGACATTCTTCAGAACCATGCAATAGGGCAGTGAGATGAAACTCAACACCCCTGAAAGAAAAGGCTGGGGAGATTTTAAGAAGAAGAAGGAATTATAGGCATCTGAGTTTGCTAATGGGCTTTACAGAAAGGAAATGTAAGCCATCTCCTCAAGTCCTTGCAGGAGGTGTTTTCACATCTTGGTTGTAAATGTGCCCCTCAAGTTAGGCTCCTACTCTCCCTCAGAGTCTGGGACACAGGGACACCAGGAGGATTACATTTCAAACGGATGGGGCCAGGTCCTTGAGACAGTTATTCTCTGGGTCATAACACTGGCAAGAAGCTTTTGAGGAGACTTACGTATATTTCAAAAGTGCAGAAAAAGAATGTGCAATTACTACTTACATTTATAAAAGAAATTGTCTTAAGATGGAAGACAAAGGCATGTTTTCAGGAAGAAACTGTGTAAAGGTTAGTGACTCTGAGGGAACTGTAAGGCCTCTAGTTCTGAACAAAACTGCTTTCTGCACAGTGGAGGGAAACAAAACTATATCTCTTTCAGCCAAGACCCAGTTGACATCTTTATCATTTCCAGCAATTTATAAAGAAGTGTAATTTCCCAGCAATGTATAAACAGATGTAAAGTAGCGGAGAGATCCTGAACACAGCCAGGATCTGATCTCCCAGAATGCTGCGATTCTAGAGTTCTCCATGGAGACATTACATTGCTCTCTACAGTCACCTTCGTTTTGACCACAGGACACCTCCAAGGAAGAAGAGTATTCTCCATCCTACAACGTGGCTGTTGTCACTGGATTTGGCCTGATTAGTGACCTAAGTGCAGAGGAACTGACATTTACCACATAGTTTGCTCTGATGCAGGTTTTTCTATGAAACCGAAGATGGGAGTTCTAACAGCCTCTTGAGGTTAGGAAGCCTCAACCTCTAGCGTTGAGTAATGCCCTCATCTCCAAGAGATTCCAAATAACCCCGCAGGTCAAGTTTAGCTCCATGAAAGGTGAGGTCATTTCTAATTCTGTGGGCATCAGTCTGAACTAGGACATTTGAGCAAAAGCCTTGGTTGTATTACTAATGTTTCCAATTATGCCCTATTCACAAGAAAGACAGAGTCCTATTGAGTTTATGCAAATAAATCTATAGCCATATACATAAAAATACTCAAAAAACTTAAGAAATTTTTTGAAATAAGTCAAACAGGGAGAAAAAAAAAGATCAATGTTGTTACCCACATGGGCGTCCTCCTGTCCATTCCCATTGCCAGCAACAGTGGCTGCTCATCCACTACATGTCCCCCTGGAGAAGGGACAGAGCTTGGATTTATGCAAACTCATCACCTACACCCAGGGTAATCACACAGCCACTGAGATTTTCTTGAAAGACTCGGCTTCACCTCCACTGTGGAGATGGTACAACTTAGACCACACAGAGGTGGAATCTGGTATAGACTCTCATCTTAAGTCAACAATAATGACAATGTCAGTTCTCTTTTTTGAGCATTTATTGACTCAATGCAACTCTTCTAAGGACTTTCCACTCTCACAACAAATCTATTTAAAGGGCACGAAAGATTATTCAGAGTTTAGTAACAAAGAGGAGAGGAGGAGGGTCACTAATATTTTACAACCAGCTCAACTGGCTCACTTTCAGCGGAACTGATGGGGTTGGACACTTCACACTGGTAATTCCCAGCATCCTCCCTCCTGATGGGGTCTATGGTGAGGATTCTGTCGTTCCAGGACAGCTTCATCCGCTCCGTCAGCCACAGAGTCATGCCATTGAAGAACCACTGGATGGAGACTGCATTTGTGCCACAGATCAGGACCACGGAATCCTTATGCTCCATGACTGTGGTGTTGCTGGCTAGGAGGGTGGGCGCTCTCAATCGCTCTGTGGAGAAATAGAGAGCATGGCTAATTGAGAGTGGACTTGGGTGCTGGGACATGCTAGCTCCTCAGACATCTGAGCCACTCAGAGTCCACTGTGAGCTCTGTAAGGTCACCAGAGGATGGTTCTGATCTCCACGTAAGGACAATTGTCTTTTTTAAGGGGACAATGTGTAGGGAAATGGTTGCACCTCTTCTCTGAACCCAGATCACAACTGACCTGTTCCCATTGACATATTTGTAGTATCAACACAGGGAACCCTTTCCCAGCCCACGTGTCCTATAACCTCATTGTAAGGTGGTGTTGTCCTCTCATGAGCTTCTACTGACACTTTCCTACAAGTTCTTTTGACTTAAAAATTCCATGTATGTTGGGAAAGGCAATCATAACACTACTGGGGCCAAGAGGACTTTACAGAAAGTAAATGGGCATTCAATTATGGTTAAATTACTCATTAGGCAATAAAGATGGCCAACCCAGTCTTCATGACCTTGGAACTGGATAAGTTCCATCTATAGGATTCCTCAGTCTGAACAGGACTTTATTTCCAGGCCTGCTGATTGCATATAATGATAAAATAAATCTCTAAAGAGAAGTGGTTATGATTTTAACAAAAGACAGAAACTGTAGGAATAGGAAGAAATTACTTAATATGGTAAAGACCACACATGAGAGACCACAGCTAGCACATTACTTCACGGAGAACCTCTGAAAACAGTACTAAGATCATGCATAAGACAAAGATGCTGTTTTTCCCCTAATTGAACTAGTTAGAAAAATCAGGCAAGTAGATGAGATAAGAGATATCCAATTTAGAGAGGAATAAGAAAATATCATTTTAAAAAATACAACAGAATCTTATTATAGAACACCCTGAAGATTTCACCACATATATATACCTATAACAACTATTACAACTAACAAAAAGATGAAGTCACCAGAGACAAAATCAACACTCAGCATCATTTCAATTATTTAAACCAAAACGAACAATCCTCAAATAAAATAAAGAAAACAGTTCCATTTACAGTAGCATCAAAAAGACTAGATACTTAGGTTTAAACATAATAAGGTGGTAGATGAATACACTGAAAACTACCAAACATTTCTGAAAGTAAAGAAGAAAAAAATAACTGGAAAGACATCCATGTTCATTGATTCCAAGACCACCAACTATCTACATATTTGAAGCAGTCCCTATCAAAATCATAATTACATTTTTTCAGAAATAAAAAAAAAATCCATTCCAGAATTTATGTGGAATTTCAATGGATCCCAAATATTTGCAACAAACTTAAAAAGAATGAATAGAAATTGGAGGTCTCACAGTTACTAATTTCAAATCTTACTACAAAGGGAAAGTAACCAAAATAATTACACTGGCATAAAGACTTCTATTTGTCAAAAGACACAATCAAATGGTTTTGATAAAGGAGCCAAGACTGTTCAATGGAGAAAGGACAGTCTTTTTAACCAATGCCGTTGAACAACAATATCTACATGCAAACAAATAAAGAGGAGCATTGCTTATACCATACACAACAATTAAATCAAAATGGATTGAATCTTAAAGCTAAGAACTAAAATTATAAAACACTTAGAAGAAAACATAGGGGTAAGCAGTATGGCATTGGATTTGGCAGTGATTTCTTCAATATGAAATTAGATACTCAGTCAAGAAAAGATTAGATAATTTAGATTTTTGTCAAAATGGAAAACTTCTGTTCATCCAAGGACACAATCAACAGAGTGAAAGGTGATCTGTGGAATGGTAGAAAATCCTTTGCAAATCATTAATAAGATGAGGGGTTAATATCCAGAATATATAAAGATCTCCTAAAACTCAACAACTGCAACACCAAATAAGCTGATCTAAAACGGGACAAACCTTATGAATACACATTTCTCCAGAGAAGATATACAAATGGTCAATAAGCCCAGGAAAAGATGCTCAACATCACTATCATTAGAAAAATATAAATCAAATTCTCAAAGTTGATGCTTGTGATATTAAGTGTGGGTAACTCCACTGAGCAGGTAACAGGAGAACACTGCCCTGTGTGACACTTGAGTCCTCCAAGCCTTCTTCAATCAGAGTTGGCACCTCTCACCTCTCAGCCAACTTAAAGGAATAAAGCAGGTCTATGTATCACAAGACAAATTCCTGGGGCTCTGAGCCCTCAGAGAACCTAAACCCTCTATGTCTGGGGTTTAAGACCCTCTATGGCACAGCCTTTCTCAGGACCCAAGACTGTTCAATGGAGAAAGGACAGTCTTTTCAACAAATGAAGGGAACCATTCAATAGATTAGCAGGCTTTGGTTGTGGAAAAACAGAGAACCGAGAGTTAGAGACACCCCCTCTCCCCTAATCCTCCCACATATCTAGTTCTTAACTGACAAGCTGACTGCAATTTTTTCTAGCTGCACAGACCTTCATTCCCCAGCCGAGGTGTGTTTCTAAGAGGCACCATTTCCCAGGACATCTTAGACTCTAAGACTTAGAGACTCAGATTGGAGCAGAAATAAATTAGGGGATCAGGATCAACCCTGTTGTCAGCTGACTGCTCAGACCTCAGGGCCAATAGCTGGGTCAGGTTTTCCAAAGTGAGTGTGACTGACATGAGCCAGTGAGCCAATAAATGATAGAGCAGAGTCCAAGGAATGACCTAGAAAAAAGTGAAGGGACAGCAGGGTCTGATTTTGGCAGCAGAACCATATGCTTTGCCCTTGGTCATTAAAGTCATTCTCCCTCTGCTGAGGGCAGGTGAGGCTTGTCCAGATGCAGAAGGGGTGATTAATGGCAAGAGGGGAGCATGGATTGCTGACTTTCTGACCCTTGTGGACCATTTGTGTTTGGTGGGTATGAGATAGAAATTTGGAAGGATCTTACAATTCCCCCATATGCAAAAATTATTATTAATCCCCCAGGGCCTAAGAACAAAAGCAAGAAGGACTATTTCTCTAGAGAACAGCAAATTGTTTGAGACATGGGTCTCAACCCCTGGAGTGACAGGGAGCCTTTCCCATGTGGCCAGAATTCCAAGGACTCTGCATCCAGGTTTCAAACTCTGAAGATGTTTTACCTCATTCCTTCCTTCAGTAGCCATTTATTTCTTCCTAATTCATCAAAACAACCTAGCAGTACATCTTGATCCCTTAGCTGGTTACAAGTGTAAAATGGGGAGCGAGCAGGCAAAGTCTTTTCCTTTATATCCAGTGGGAGTGACACCAACCCATCAGGAAACAAATCTGTGGTTTCACCTTAAGTGCTGGGAGGAGTGTATCAGACCTGAGGGGAAGGTCTGGGTGTTCCCAGCACTGACTGATTGTTACTGCAGGTAATTTGGTTCTAGAGTACAAATAAATTAATTCTCCATTTGGTCTTATTTTCTAGACCACAGTCTCTCTCTTTGAACTGGGATGCCTAAGGGAAGATGTACCAATATTTGCTTTAGGGATCCCTCTGGGATGGAGGAGAGGTAATGGCTTCAGACAGACATTGAGTCACTCTAATGGTCTGTGTGGCTCTGCTTTAGTGACTATATCTTCCTGTGCCTTCGTTCCTCTCAATGCAGTATGATGAAAATTTGACTGCCAGGGTGTCAGTGTATTCACAATAAAATATTCACAGTATCTGACTAAACATTGGCACAGGAGAGCTGCTCAAATGAGGGACATCTATTATTGATCAACTCCAAGAGAATCTCCTGGGCTTATCCCTGGTGGATAAGGAGCTGCCAGGAGCATCTTTCCTCCTTTTTGTTCCCTGTGATTCTGAACTTTCTCTGGATTCTCCTAAATGTTTCAGTGTAGATCACAAATGGCCTGGCGACCTTGTCCATCTATGCTAGCCACAAACAGTCTCGGGTGCAGCACCACCACTTTCCAGATGTGGCTCATGGGGCTGAGCTCTGGCTTCTGAGCAGCTCAAAAGCCTTGTGACTCAGACAACTGGGAAACCATTGCGACCACTCAGCCATTCCCAGGAAGTTAACCCAAACCTGACACAGGATCCCCAGGGTCCCTGGAGTCAGAAACCCTGGGGCAGGGGTCTGGGCGGGGCTGCCAAAGCTGAGCTTCTTTATGAGGATTGCAGGGGGCTCCCCAAAATGGGCCCTGGCAGAGTCCTGCAGGGTCTTTCTCAGGGTCATGGTCATGGGGAGGGGCCGAGGGAACTGGACTGAGCCGGTCTCTCTCTGCTTAGCAACTCCCATCAGGCTGGCCCTTCTCTCTGGAGAATGTCTGCAGGGCTAGATTTCTGAAAGGGAACTCTGATCTTAGAAAGGTTTTCTCCACTGTGTGTGTCCTGCATTAAATGCCCAAACCCAACCTGAGAGATGATGCAGCGGGGGATTAAGGCAGAGTCCAGGGCTGTCAGTCCTATGTATTCCCCCATCAACACCCAGAGGTCAGAGAGCAATCACTCACCGTATACATTGAGCCCTCCAAATCCTATTTCTTTTTTATGCTCTGGAAGGAATACTACTATGGTGTAGACTCCTGTGTCCTCCAGGGTGACCCTCTTTATCACCAAGAATCCATCAAAGTTTATATACTCTCGACCGCTGTGTGCAGGCCCTGTTCTATGTCCTGGGAACAATCCAAGACCTGCAATTTTATGTTTGAAGTTTGCCCCTTCCCCCCTGTACCACATGTAGCCTTGAGCATTGGGAGGCATATTGCAGATACGTAGAGTCACATCCTGTCCTTCGGTTGACACAATAGAGAGTTGGGAAGTGGTGGGCAGGCTCCAGAAATTTAAGAGTGAAACTAGGAGGGAAGAGAGAAATTGATCAATATTTGGATATATATGTTGGGATGGAAAGATGAGGCCCTGGATTCAACAGGTCTCTTCATCTCAGCCTTGGTGTGTGTGTGTGTGTGTGTGTGTGTGTGTGTGTGTGTGTGAGTGTGTGTGTGAGTGTGGTCAAGGTCAACAGCATGACCACCAATAATTCAGCACCTGTGAACCTGTTACTTTTTGTTTTTCTCAGTCTCTTTT